GGGAATCAAGGGAGGGTCTTCTCCAAGACTGCGGCTTCTGCCCTGGCCCCTATGCGGCTCGAGCAATGGACCCCCCGCCGCCCAGCCCCCGTGATGGCACAGGGGCACGGGAAAGTTACCGTAAATGGGACAAGAAACAAAGCAGCTCTGCCGAAGAACCGGCAGCAGCACATTGCCCAGGATCTCTATGAGAGTTTCCTGGAGATCTCCGAGGGAGATTCCCCTGACGTGAGGGAGTCAATCAACAGCCTGTTCCTCTGCTCAGACTAGGCCTGCGGTGGGAGACAAGCCTGCTTTCTGCAACCCTCCTGCCTCCAACAACTCGCTTCAGCGAGTCCCAAAATCAAATCCACTTACCAGGGGCCTCCTCTCCTGTTTGTACTTCACCAACATCCAACATCTGTCACTGGCTAGCCTCCGCTGGGGTAAAAAAGAGCTCCTGCCTGCATGCATCTCTGACCTCCGAGTCATCCTCTGCCTCTTGGTTCCCCTCTCCCTCCACATCCTTGTCCAAGATTTACTCCTCCTGGCCACTTTTGACTCGCATGCAAGCCACCAACGTATCCACAGTGGTCTTTGCAGTGGAGGTGGGGTCGCCACCGAGTATCACATCCAGCTCTTTGTAGGACTGGCAGGTCGTGGGCTCAGCACCGGAGCGGTGGTTTGCCTCCCGCGCCTTGTGGTAGGCATTCTGTATCTCCTTCACTTTGACCCTGCACTGCAATGTGTCCCGGTCATGACCCCTTTCTATCATGCATCGTGAAATCTGTCTGAAGATATTATTCCTACGGCTGGAGCGCAGCTGGGACTCGACAGCCTCCTCTCCTCAAATGCTGATGAGATCCAGGAGCTCGGCATTGCTCCAAGCAGGGGATTATCTGGTGCTGGAGCAGGCATGGCCACCTGGAAAGATGCACTGAGACCCCTGCACGCATCACCGAGCAAACAGGAAGGGGACTTTCAAAATACCAAGGGAATTTACGGGATGGGGATGACAGCTGGTCACCTGAGGGCAGGGCAGTAGAGTTCAAACTGATGACCAGAGAGGTGAGAACAGGCATTGTGGGATACCTCCCAGAGGCCAATTGCAGGGCTGTAATCGACCAAGGTGTCTACACTGGCACCGCGGCGCTGTTCCCCTGGCGCAGAAAGCTGTACGTCTCTCGTTGGGGTGTTTTTTTCAGTGCTACAACTGCACAGTGTCTGCGCACTAAGTGGCCTGGCAGTGTGTAACCTCAGGAGTTACAGCGCAGAAAGCTGCTTTATTGCACAGAAACTTGCCAGTGTAGACAGGGCCTAAGATGTTTCCAGCAGTCATCCTGGGCAGGGATTCTGTGAAGAATGAAACCTGATTAACTCACTTCCCTGCCTTCAATAGGATTCACATATGGAGGGAATTCTTTGTTTCCTAGTTTGATCCCCACCCCTATTAGTGGAAAAATACTAGTAGTCCAGTACCAGGTGACATGATCACATGACCCTGCAGTGTCAAAGCAGCATCCCAGAAATCTTCTCAGGAAGGTGGGAGATTAGCATCTTCAAAGTCCTATTGTCCATCTTAAATGGTCCATTAAGTCTGATTGCCTACTGTCTGGTGGATGTTCCCCAGGTGTAAACCCTCTTGTGATTGTTACATAGTCAATATTCCTAACTTCAGATACATAAATGGTACATGCATACAAATAGGATAATCATATTCAGTAAATCATAACCTTTCCAATGATACCTCTCATGACCCATCTTGCATAGAACACATCTGTTATGCCAGATTCATATCATAACAATATCCTATGAAGAATATGGGGCATATGGTCACCTCTGGGTTTTCCCTTCTGTTGGTAAAGCATATGGTCAATTGCTTGAACACACTTTAGTTCTTTATGCAATATGTCCAATACACCAAATAACCAATATCGGTCTGGTTTATTGCTAAAAGTCAGTAATAGCTAAGGCTGGGTGTCTGTCACAGAGGTCATGGAAGTCACAGATTCCAGAACTTTCTGTGACCTCCATAACTTCTGCAGCGGCTGGTGTGGCTGGCCCTGGGTGACCCCTGCTGGGGCAGTCTTTGGCCACCACACACCCCCAGCTCCCCAGCAGCAGCAGTAGTTTGGGTGTGGGAGGGGGCTCAGGGTTGGGGTAGGGGGCTGGTGTTTGGGGCGGTGCTTACCTGAGGGAGGGGCGTGTTCCACGGAAGTGGCTGGTATGTCCCTTCAGCTCCTAGGTAGAGGGGCCAGGGGACTCTGTGCGCTGCTTCTGCCTGCAGGCAGTGGCCCCACAGCTCACATTGGCTGCGGTTCCCAGCCAACGGGAGCTGTGGAGACAGTGCTCATGGCAGGGGCAGCGCGTGGAGCCCCCTGGACTTCCCTCCCCCTAGAAGCTGAAAAGACAGCTCTGGCTAGCCCCGCCAACCCTCCCCGCCCAGCACCAGCAGCGGTCCTGGGCCATGTGCTGCCACCTCCCCCCTCCAGCACCTGTTACAGCCCTCCCTGGCTGCTCTGCCTGGACCCATGGTGCACCTCGGGCCACTCCCCAAGAGCACCTGCAGACCCCCGGCCCAAGTTTTAGTTAGGGATACATAGTACAAGTCATAGACAGATCACATGCCATAAATTTTTGTGTACTGCCCGTGACCTGTCCATGACTTTTACTAAAAATACCTGTGACTAAAACCTAGCCTTAGTAATAACATATTACAGGAACAAAAGTTCAATACAACTCCAATTTCCGGGAACCCGTCTCCGGCAGCAGTGCTGAACTGGCCTTACAAAGAAGGCTTGTGTCCAAAGTCACGCCCCTAAAGCTGCCCTTTTTATACCCACCCTGTTTACACGGAAAGAGGTACTGTATGCATCCTCTGAGGCTAGTCTTCACCTCCCATCTTTCTACCTTGTATTTCTGGTACCATACGGTACCCCTTAGCTCTTTGTTCTGGATTCAGGAGTTCCAGGTACCAAGAGCGGAATCACCTCCTCGGCTTGTCCCGTATATATTGTCCTTATAACTTCCTGCCTGTTACTACAGTAGAATGCCCATGTCTCCTGATCCTAACAGTTTTCCTGGCTAATGCAAGGTGTTATGGGATACTTAGCATAGGTGAATAAGACTATAGAAAGACACAGGCCACCATTCTAGGCCATGTAACTGCCAGAAGTGTACATACAATAGAATGTTATATGCATTAAGCACATACTATCCATATTAATATATGTAATGTGAATCATACCTATTGTTCATGTGATGTATTATATTAGCCCAGCATATATTGGTGAATATTTCAGAAATAGATTTAACCGCCACCTAAACAATTCAGCTAGTCCTAATCACCCAGATCCAATGACCCCACCCCTCATTACAGTGCCTATAACCACCCCTTGGAGAGCTGCCAAGCCTGTGTTAGCTTCATGGCAGAGACAGATTCTGTGTGGGACTCTCATGATGGGCACAAACGCGGCACATACAGCATTATGTTCTGCCAGCCTGGGAACTTATCGGATGACACTTGAGTGCTCCCTCGTGGTAGAGAGAGGAACAGGACGAGGAGGAGAAATACTTGACAGAAATAAAAACAAAAGATGTGTTTTAAAGATTTGTTAGTCTCTAAGGTGCCACAAGTACTCCTGTTCTTTTTGCGGATACAGACTAACACGGCTGCTACTCTGAAACCTGTTTTAAAGATGTTATACACAGAAATAAGCAACAGAGAAGGAGAGCGAGAGGGAGATCTGTCTCCTGCCCCTGTCTATGGACCAAATTTTGCTTATTTACCCCACTGTAATTCTGGTGTAAATCCAATGAAGTCAATTCTTTCATTAAGATCTATTATTACTGTAGTAATATTTCGGAACCCCAGCTTTGTGCCCCTACAGAAATTTGGCTCAACCAGATACCTGGAAATTCCCCTGGTGCACTGGCTCTGTGTTACAGCCCCAGGAACAGTGGACATTCCCAGAGGTGAGCGTTATGGCCAATGTACTCCTCCACTCTGGCTATTGCCAGCTGCTGGAACGGTCCCTTGGGGCTACAGACAGTTAAGGATGAACCAGGAAAGGTTTTGGGCTGCTCTGCTTCCGGGGACCAGACTGATCCACAGTAGGCAGCAGGTTTAAAACAAATAAAAGGAAGTTCTTCTTCACACAGCGCACAATCAACTTGTGGAACTCCTTGCCTGAAGAGGTTGTGAAGGCTAGGACTATAACAGGGTTTAAAAAAGAACTAGATAAATTCATGGAGGTTAAGTCCATTAATGGGTAATAGCCAGGATGAGTAAGGAATGGTGTCCCTAGCCTCTGTTTGTCAGAGGGTGTAGATGGATGGCAGGAGAGAGATCACTTGATCATTACCTGTTAGGTTCACTCCCTCTGGGGCACCTGGAATTGGCCACTATTGGCAGACAGGATGCTGGGCTGGATGGACCCTTGGTCTGACCCACTATGGCCATTCTTATGTTATCCTCCGGGACTCAGTAACTGTGAAAGTTGTGGAAAGCCATCTGGGACCCCTCCACGCTCTGGTCTCATAGTGAGCCCATCTCAGCCAGCCCCGGGAATCTGGCCCAGTAAATTTAAGGGGATTTCAGTGAGACAGGATGGAGTCTCAGTTGGTGCAACGTGAGCACTGGAGGGAGCAGAGGAAATTGCACGTGACACCAATGTAGCGTCTGCCTAGGTGTAAATTCTAGCTCGAGGAGACATACCCGGGCTTGCTCTGACCCAGCTGGCATGCCAAAAATTGAAGCGTGGCCGCATTTGGGCAAGTAAGAGGAGAGGCTCCCTGCCCCGACTACGATCCCGTCCAAAACCACAGGTACACACTCACGGTGGCCAGACCCTCCCAACACCATGGCAACACTTCTATTTCTAGCTACATGAGAGCTAGTGCGACTATGTCTTCTTGAGCTGGAATGTTCACCTTCCAGCCCCAGCGCAGACAGACCCATGGGCCCCTCTGCACTCTCCTAGCCCCACCCGAGTTCAGCCCATGGACTTTGTTCCACTCACCCAATGGATACGCGTCACCTCGGGTTCCCATGGTGGCTCAGATGCTATCAGGGCAGGTTGAGTTCTGAGGATTCTGAGCTTTGCAGCCTCCTTATCTTGGAGAAATTAGACAGGAAGCCCAGTCAACTCATGTCCTGTTGCATTATATCGTATTTACTCACAGCACTGCACACAGGAAAGCACTGTCTTCTCAGCATGCCCTGCTCTCCTTCCTTCTCCCATACCACTTCTCCCAGCCCCATTTACCTTGCTGAGTACCTGTGGGGCAAACTGACCACAGTGCAGAGGGCCTAGCACCACTTCACAGAATCACAGAAATGTGGAGTTGAAAGGACCTCAGGAGATCAAACAATCCATCCCCATGCGCTGAGGTAGGACCAAGTGCACCTAGAACGTCTCTAGCAGGTGTTTGTCCAACCTGTTCTTAAACACCCCCAATAACAGGGATTCCGCAGCCTCCCTAGGTCACTTGTTCCTGTGCTGAACCATCCTTAGAGTTAGAAAGTTTTTCCTAATAGATAACCTAAATCTCCCTTACTGCTAACTAAGCCAATTTCTTCATGTCCTACCCTTGGTGGACATGGGCACCAATTGATCACAGTCCTCTTTATAACAACCCTTTGCATATTTGCATATTGTTATCATGTCCCCCTTCAGCCGTCTCATCTCTGAACAAAACATGCCCAATTCTTTCAACCTTTCCTCACAAGTCATGTTTTCTAAACCTCTGATCATTTCTGTTGCTCTCCTCTGGAATCCGTACAATTTGTCCTCATCCTTCTTGAAACGCAGCACCCAAACCTGGACACAGTTCTCCTGCGCTGAGTAGAGGAGAACAGTCACATCCCTTCTCTCACCCACCCCACTCCTATTAATACTTCCCAGAATAACATTTGCCTTTTTTCAACAGCATTACACTGTAGATTCACATTTGTGGTCCACCAGAAAGCTCACACCCTTTTCTGTAGTGCTTTTGCCGAGCCAGTGAGTCCCCATCCCTCCCCTGTGAGTAAGGGCTTGCAACTAGCTTTGCACCCTCCTTGTGGTAGCTTCATCTAATCCATATGTCCTTAATTTGAGTGGGAAAATGTCATGTGGGATGTGTTGAAAGACTTACTAAATTCAAGATACATCACGTCCACCTCTTCCCCCATCCACTAGACTTGGTAGCTAATCAAAGAAGGAAATTATGTTTGTTTGGCATGACTTGTTGTTGACAAATCCATGTTGGTTATTACTTATCACCTATGATCTAGGTTTTAATAAATTGGTAGTTTAATCATTTGTTCCCATATGTTTCTCATTCTCTGGTCTATACTTCCCTAAAAGCTCCTTTTTACCTTTTTTTGGAAGTTTGCCCTTGTTAGGAACCTCACCCATCCTCCATGAGTTCTGGAAGATCATTGCTAATGGTTCAGAGATTGCTTCAGCGAGTTTCTTAAGTACTCGGGAGAATTTCATCAGGCCCTGCTGAGTTGCATAGATCTAACTTAACAGATAAAGAATATTTAGCTATTTCCCTATTCTGGCCAGTGTTCCTTCCCTCTCATTAAAATTAACCGGTGTGAAGTATCTGGTCACAACTAATCTTTATAATCCTGCATTCAGTAAAATTTAAGAGGAGCCCATACTGAGTGGTTGGTTGCTAACATAATGGTCAGAGATGTCAGTGGCCTGGGGTTGTTAATGAGTCTTGCTGTAAGTAGTCATCTAAGGTGGTGCAGCTGTAATGCCGAAGTCACTTTCTGAGCAGTAGCTCTTCTTAACAAAAACCAAACAGAAGAACAGATCTTCATCCAGATCACAGTGCGGCTCCCTATGCGTGAGATGGTGCTGTCCAAGTCTCAGCTGTGATCATAGCTCTTGTCTGCAGCTGTCGTCTTGGAGACGCAGACAGAACATCAGTCCTGGTCCAGGGGGTGCCGTAGTAACAGGGTTAACACAGGAAGAAGATGAAAGAGGCGGTTAATGACTATCCATGCTTGACAGTGTCAGAGAGCGGGATGTGGGCAGTCAGGTCTAGTGATCAGAGCAGAACCTGGCAGCAAATAACCAGAGCCACGGGTCAGAGCCAGATGCCAAATGCCAGCACCAAGGGTCAGAGCCAGGGGCAGGAGCCAGAAGTTGGAACCCAGGGTCAGAACTGGGGTCGGAGTTGAAGTTGGAGATGAGGAATCGGAGCTGAGGGTCAGAACCAGGTTACCTGGAGAGAGGCCAGGCAGGAGCAGGGCTGGACCAAGGCCGGAGCTAACACAGCTGTGAGCAAAAGCTTTGAGCAGCTACTGAACTGCTACTTGTGGGCTTAAGAGCCTGTCTGCTGACCCTTCCCACCAATCAGAGAGCTGGATACAGGCCAGCTGCACTCGTTAAGATGCCTGGAGACTGGCTCTGCTGCAGGCCCTGATTACCGACAGATGGTCCTTGTCTATGGTCCCATAAGGCAGGTTCTTGAAGGCAGTGACTGCTCAGGACCTGGGGCTCTCCAGTCCTTCCATCCAGGTGTCCGTGAGCTCCAGGTGAAGAGAGGCAAAGAAATACACTCAGGCTCCTCGTCCTAGGATCACTCTCATGCGCGGGTCTTACCAGGTCCCCTTTTCTTGTGGCCCCCTCCTAGAGGAACAGCTCTGGTCCAATCAGTGTCACAAACATGCTTCCTCCAAATAGATCAACCTTCCACTGAGAAAAAACACTGCACACACATGTGTGTTTTACCCATATAAAGTCAGTTTCTGCTCAGTGAATTCCCCTTTTCTCAGATGTTTCCTGGTGGTTCGCTCTGTCCTGTCTGGATTGTGGTGAGCAGTGGGGTGTGGTTCACCTGCCTTATTTCCTCTTCTGTCTGCTTTAGAACAACACATTCCCTGTGGCTAAAGAAATTTCTTTGCTCTGGCTGGGATAATTTAGTTGCGGATGGTCCTGCTTTGTCAAGCCTGACCTTTAAAAGCTTTAAGGAAGGAGATTCCACCACCTCCCTAGATAACACATTCCAAGTGCTTCACCACCCTCCAAGTGAAAAAGTTTTTCTTTATATCCAACCTAAACCTCTCTCACTGCAACTTGAGACCATTACTCCTTGTTCTGTAATCTGGTACCACTGAGAACAGTCTAGATCTATCCTCTTTGTAACCCCCTTTTCAGGTATTTGAAAGCAGCTATCAAATCCCCCCTGATTCTTCTCTTCTGCAGACTAATTAATCCCTGTTACCTCAGCCTTTCCTCATAACTCATGTGCTCTAGGCCCCAAATCAATTTTTGTTGCCCTCCACTGGATTCTTTCCAATTTTTCCACATCCTTCTTGTAGTGTGGGGCCCAAAACTGGACACAGTACACCAGATGAGGCTTCACCAGTGCTGAATAGAGGGGAATGATCACGTCCCTCGATCTGTTGGCAATGCCCCTACTTATACAGCCCCAAATGCCGTTAGCCTTCTTGGCAACAAGGGCACACTGTTGACTCATATCCAGCTTCTCGTCCACAGTAACCCCAGGTTATTTTCTGCAGAACTGCTGCCAGCCATTCGGTCCCTAGTCTGTACTAGTTCTAAGGATTCTTCCGTCATAAGTGCAGGACTCTGCAATTGTCCTTGTTGAATCTCATCAGATTTCTTTTGGCCCAATCCTCTAATTTGTCTAGGTCCCTCTGTATCCTATCCCTACCCTACTGTATCAAAAGCTTTGCTAAAGTCAAGGAATAACACGTCCACTGCTTTCCCCTCATCCACAGACCCAGTTATCTCCTCATAGAAGGCAATCCGGTTGCTCAGGCATGACTTGCCCTTGGTGAATCCATGCTGACTGTTCCTGATCACTTTCCTCTCCTCTAAGTGCTTCAAAATTGATTCCTTGAGGACCTGCTCCATGATTTTTCCAAGGACTGAGGTGAGGCTGATTGGCCTGTCATTCCCTGGATCCTCCTTCTTCCCTTTTTTAAAGTTGGGCACTATATTAGCCTTTTCAAGTCATCCAGGACCACCCCCGATCCCGGCCTGGGAAGGCGGGGGAGGGGCCGGCGGCTTGCTGCTGACGGGAGAGTGGAGCCATTTGCCCACCCGTGCATTAGGGTGTGCCCGTGCACACCCCGTGCGCACGCCTATGAGTATAAGCTGAGCTGCAGGGCCATTCTGAAATCAGTTCCTTACTAGAGTTGGGGGAGTGCTGTGGGAGCTATCGGACCTCAGACAGAGCCGTGCTGGTGGAAAGAAGGAGCTCTGGGTTGGTTGCTGCTGAGGAAGGGATGGGGATACTGGGAAGTGGCCCTGGGAATTAGAGCAGTGGTGTGGTGTAGATAAAGGGGCATGATGGACAACTGCTATCTGCAGGGGTAGTGAGCGGACCAGGGTCTTCCTCACCTGCCATTCGCCACTGGGGGAAGTGGCCTGGATTTTGAGATACCCCAGAAGGGGAACTGAACTCTTTAGTGGCCCAGTAGGAGAGCTGGGGCCTGAAACGCCCTCTGAGGACATTGGCTCCAGGGGGAAGCCGTGGAGTAAGGTCTGCTGTCAGAGCTGAAACCACTACTAGACTATGGGACTGATTAAGGATAAGGACCTAAGCCCAAGAAGGAGCTTTAGGGATAGGAAGTGCAGGCACTGCACGCACTCAACCAGGGGTGCTCATGAGACATGAGTGCACCCCTCTACACTGAGTGAAAAAGTTCTTGCTGGATTTGAAACCCACGGACTATTGCTTGTTGTTGATTTGTACGTACATATTGTGTGTTAAGGGACAAAGTAAACTCAAAATAAAAATGGGGTAACACATCTGTCAGGCCAGAAATCAAGGTTCCGCTCCGGGAGTGGCATAGCCTTCTCTCTCCATAACACAAGAAGGGTTATGTGGGGTGGCAGTCTGTCACCTCCCACCTGGCTGCTCTGTATTGGAGTATTGCATTATCAGGCAGTTAATAGTCCTTTGGCTTTGCAGCACAGGCCGGCCCGGGGCGCTGGTGACCTTGCTGGACACGGGCTCTTGCCCTGAGATATCTGTAACTAGCCGTGATTTCCAGAGGAGCGAGGCCGGGCTCCTGCTGGTGCCAGGCTGGATGGTCGGGGGGGCAGGTGTCAGGAGCGGGGCAGGGCCTGAGTGAAGCCAGCCCGGCAGTTAGAGGCAGGGAGCCCTTCATCGGCATTCCTTCGTGCAGCCGCTAGGCGTCCCCGCGCTGCACAGAGCCCCAGCCACCGGCGGGAGAGGCCCTGGCAAACAGCCGAGGCCAGGCTGGAGCCAAGCGGGGTGGAGGACGCAGGCTGCAGCCGGAGCTCGGTAAAGCCGGGTCCTTCGGTGGTGGGGCGGGCAT